TATATATGTATGTATATGTTATTTGTTTAATTACAATCTGTCAGCAGACATTTAGATATTTATATTAAACACAACAAATTGACAAATATTGAAGTGTTTACAAAAATATATATAATTTTGCCGTATTTCTTTTGATATAATACAATTATCACTGAACCGAGCTAAACTTCTTAACTTTAAAAGGCAAGTCACATATATGTACATACAGTATCTCTTTTAAGACGTGAGTAGGGAACCACTGTTATCTATTGCATTTAAAATCGGATTTCTGTTATTAATATAAAAAAAATTGTTTAAAAAAGTAATTCGTCTTAAACAGTTAACTGTTCTAAGATAATAGGAAGGTAAATATTTAGAATGAAAATGTTTTATAATTGTATTTAAAATCATATAAATATCGAATATTTTTAATAAGGGTTGTTCACTAAACGACTATGAAATATTAAATGAACCGTACTCTGTGATACTTGAACTCATGTTTTCAATTTTGACAATTGAATAAAAAATTATAAAAAATAAAAACATAATTAATTAATTTAATTATTCTACAGCTGGTTTATGATTTCGTTCTAATATAAACACAGCAAGTGAACTTGTAACAAAAGTCCAGAAAAATGTGTAAACATCAAACTCAAGTACAAGTTTCGGTCATTGGTTCAGGAGCGCTGACTCTGAGCTTCAAATCTGTAAAGGCACGAGTTCAATCTCTGCTACTTACAGTCTCAAAAAATTATTTACGAATAATTAAATACAAGAATTATTTCCAAGACCACTGAAGATGGGTATTTGGCAATACTCGAAACAGCTTTATGGTCAGCCAAAAATTCAATTAATTAAAATAATATAAAAATGAATTTTTGTTGTTGTAGTTCACTACTGTTCGTAAAACCTGCTTATAAAAAATTATTAAAAAAAAATTAATTATTAATAAATGCGTCTTATTTTACTGGTATTTATACCGCAATTAATAAAAAAAAGCTACTGATATCAAGAAAAAGTCATACGATTATTTTCAATATTCCAATATTTCCAATAACAGAATTCTTTAAAAAACTAATTAAAAGTGGATTCATATTTTAAAATGTTAGTAATATATTTACATTATTAACATTATTGTGATACTTAATTTGTAAAAATGTTTGTATTGCAATGAAGGAGGTATTGAAGACTTTATAAGCTTAATATATGTTTTTTTAGAATAATAAGCTAAGTCCATCTATCACTTAAGCAATAAACAAGTCACTTAATTTTTGAGTATTAAAGTAGAAAAAGTGCGGACGAATGCATGGATCATGACGGTTTGTTTGCTCCGAGATATAAAACCGACATTTATTTTCCATTCCAATTATTATTTTTTATAACTTTTTTAAGTTATTACATTCTTAAAAATCAAACAGAAATCCATATCTTCACATTTGTATGTTTCCGATTATATGGTTGAATATCATAGTTATAGACCTATTGACCCACTATTCCAACCACAGTCTTAAGATGCAAGATAACTACTTACTCTCAATTTACTATCACGACTAATACGAAGAAACTAAAAAAAGTCTTAATGGAAAACTATTTTTTATTCTTGATCTGGTGGCGCTTTTTTCTGTCATTCTTGGTCGTCGTTCCACTACGTCTATTCCTAACACCGCTACTTTCCATACACATAGTTTAACTTAGGGTTAGTAAGATAAATTTACCTGCTTTATCATACTACTTTTGTCTTAATGGAAAACTATTTTTTAATCTTGATCTGGTGGCGCTTTTTTTCTGTCATTCTGGGTCGTCGTTCCACCACGTCTATTCCTAACACCGCTACTTTCCATACACATAGTTTACCTTAGGGTTGCTAAGATAAATTTACCTGCTTTATCGCTTTCTGTCATTCTGGGTCGTCGTTCCACCACGTCTATTCCTAACACCGCTACTTTCCATACACATAGTTTACCTTAGGGTTGCTAAGATAAATTTACCTGCTTTATCGCATCTACTTTCGTGATTGCATCTATAATAGGTATGTACTATCACTTCATTCGGTTTAGATTTGGTGGATCTTCTTAACTGTCACACTTTATATACCTATTGCGCCCCTTTCTGACACCGCTGTTGTTCTTACTTATAGGGTACTTGTGAATATAGGGCACTAAAGTTTGCGTAAATTGGATTTAACTGATCTTCATTTCTGTCTCCCTAGACCAACATCCAATCGCGCGCAGCATAACACCACTATTGTTTTTACTTATAGGTCACTTAACCTTCGCTAAAGCCAAAGCAAACTGCTTTATAGAAATTTACCTTATAAATTTACCTAATAATTCTGTTGAGTAATTTACCTAATTTAATTTAAACTAATTGAATTTAATTTATGTTGGTATTGTAATAAATTTTGAATGGTAAATATATTTGGTTGTGGCTGCTATTTGTTGTCAATTCTCCAGGGGGTGAGTTACTTGGGACTCACAAATGAATCAATTGACTTGTTTATTATATTGAAACATATTATTGCGTTTAAACCAGTATAATTTGAATGGTTGAATTTGAATATGAATTCAAAAAGTCAATAAAAATATTGGATTTACTAAACCGAAACACAATTACAAATAAAATACACATTCAAAGGAGTATTTGAAATGTTTTTTATTCGTTTCTTATCCTTTGACTGCTTAATATTTATCCAAGCTTTATATGAATTTCACTTCAGCAATTCAATCGGTCTTACATGTTGTGAAATAAATGTACAGTAGCCAAAGCTCGATATCCTTTATAATGTCTAAAGTAGTTATATGGAATACTGAAATTTCAAAATTCATTATTAAAATTCGCGCTTTCGTAAAGCAAATATTAATATGAAAAATATTTGTGCGCATCAAAGGGGCCGCAGTGAAGTTCAGAAATCAATATCTAAAAATGGTATCAAAGTTTTAGAAATAAATTGAAATGGAAATACATTGAAATGAAATTATTATGATTGAAATTCATTGAAAAAATGATGCATACTTTAAATATAAAAACGTCATAGAAAACTGTAAATAAAATAACAACAAAATTCTGAAGGATAACTGCTCCCACATCAGACAAGTTCAGACAAACATTGGAATTTATTCATAAAAGGATTATTGCAGAACTGAAATTCCATTTGTGGTAGTGTTATGCGTCGTACGGTGCCAGTGCGTTCAAATGTCGACATGTACGTTTGGGTGGGCATGGTTCTACATTTGTATGTTCATCGTACTGTGGTCCTGACGAACATTTTTCCTCGCATATAGATACTCGCATGTGTTTGTGCTGTTACAAATAGTCATTCGTTCTTACCTTGAATATAAAAGTAACAACCGAAAAAAATTAGTCAAAAACAGTACATAAAAAGGTACTGAACGAAGGAATTTCAAGGATAATTTTAAGCAAAGGTATTTAAAACATTTCTACATGCATTTCAAAAAGCTTCTTCCCTATGTTTCACCAACCCAACTTTTTCGTTGCTCAACTTGCGTTCGTACCGGAGTTCGTGCCTTATTAATCCCAGAAATGAAATTTGTAAGGATTGCCTGTGAATTTTTGAAGTACATCAATTAGGAGGAACTCAATGCGAAGATAAGGTCTTAGCCAACAACTTAAGTTTTAAAATAACAATTAAACGTTGACATTCAGGATAATTATGGTCACCGTCGTATTGTTCAATGAGAATGAGACTTCTATGATTCTTTTTTTTTTTTTTTATTTAAATAGATAGTATTTGTTTATACTTTTGTGGGAAAATGCAATTCAGATTGAGTTTTCCATAATTATAGTGTATAGTTAGAATATAACTGTATTAACTTAGTTATTATTATTATTGATATGGGATATAGCACTGATATCGCCAGCTCTATTGTGCTCTTGATCTATTGTAGTTCTTGATTCTTGATTCTTCTTCTTCTTGAGTTAGTGCTATTACGCATAATGGCTGGGGGGCTTATCTCTACCCCACACTAGGCTTTAACTAGGCTAAAAAAAAAACATATCATTTATTTGTCTTTTAGTTGATGACGGACCTTAAATCAGCATATTTTCCTGAGTAAAATTATATTAATAGAAAACTGATTACTGAAATTATGTATGAATCTTTAAATATAACATCTAAATCAATACAACAGCGATTGAAACCAATTTTGTATATCAATAATAAGAGAAAATGACATATATACATTATTATTATAATATATTATTTATTATTGATTTAAAGAAAAAAAATCATAGATTTTTACTTAAAACCTAAATTGACAATACATGAGAATTGTGTATCAGATACATGAAAATTACATTTATTTATTTAATAAATATACTTAAATTACTTTTTTTTCTAATGATAACATATATATTTTGTATTTCATTGTAGTATGCACATATATAATAAATTTTAAAAGTGATAAAATAAAATATTTATAAAGAGGTTTTTTCGAACAGTAGTGAAATACAACAACAAAAATTTATTTATTTTTTATACTATTTTAATTAATTGAATTTTTGGCTGACCATACAGCTGTTTCGAGTATTGCCAAATACCCAACATCAGTGATCTTGGAAATAATTCTTGTATTTAATTATTCGTAAATAATTATTTTTTGAGACTGCAAGTACCAGGAATCGAACTCGGGTCCTGCCAAATGTGAAGCTCAGAATCAGCGCACCTTAACCAACTGATCCAAATCCGTACTTGACTTTTTTTTGTTCGCATATTTTTCTGGAGTTTTGTTATTATTACTATGAAAATAATATTATTACTATGAAAAAATATTATAAATATTTATACAATAATAAAACAACAATACAATATATTTATAACTTTCAAGCAGTGGAGGACTGCTTAATTTCGAGACCCATAAAATTTTGAAAATTTCAATAAAATATAACTGAAATCAAACATTTTTTTAATAAAATTAATAAACTACACTTAAAAATAAACTATAATTTTTTTTTTGTTTATTTTATGATAAATTTATAATGTTTACTTACTTACTTACTGCTGTCCTTCTCTCCTAAGTCGAGTATAGCGCCTCCATTGATAGTGTTTAGCATGGTTCAAAAGTAATCGAAATACTTCGTTATCAGTAACAAAGTAGGTAGGTATGACTGGCACTACTGTCATTTGCTGCTGGGTGCATGTCCGTCAATTCACTTGCATTTTTGTATTTTTACAAACGTACATGTCTCCTCGCAGAAACATTTGGAATTCAGTATGTTAATGGGGTGCTGAAATATGTTAAATGTCTTTTCAATTCTCACTTTTTTTATAAATTTGCATTTATTCAAATCATTTTTAGAGCTTTTATTATTATTATTTTTTGTTCTTTTTTCAACATACATTTGAACAAGAACCACACCTGACATACACCTGACACATTTACGTGTTTACAGTTTAAAGTGGTAAACTGACACTTACATTTACATGAAAAGTGTTGGGGATTATCCTTAAACATTTATTGTATTATTAGTTAAATATTTTTTCTTTGTATCATAATTGTTATCAATTTGATTTTGCATCAAAGTTACGATTTTAATATAAGATTTATTGAGTTATTTAAGATTTACACTCATAAAAAAAACCACTTAATTTATATAAATTAAATTAAATAAATAAATTTAATTAAATAAATAAATTTAATTAAATAATAAATTAAATAAATTATGAATATTTATCTATTCATAGAGTTTTTAGTAAGACTTACTAAAAATATTCACAACATAATAATAAAAAGATTATTAACGTACGATTTCGTAAAAACCTGGACTATTGCTGATTATAATATTCTTGTTTATAGGATAGGTACACAAACACAATTATGTATCATCATTGTAACTCAAAGGATGATTTTTACTGAGAACCTATAACAAAAGTTCAAGGACTCGAAAACTATAATAAACAAAACATAGAAAACACTTTTAATAAATTAAAATAATAACTTTAGTTTGGAGAATACAATTTTTTAGCCCACCTCTTAAATCTATTATGTGTTATCCATAACAGATTTGGGGTTGTGTTCTCTTTGAAGAAATTGTTTTTCTATTAAAAAGAAAAAAAGAAATGTACATTAGTGTACACGATATATCTTAAGAAACGAATCTTCCTTAACAATTTACTTGGACGTTATAGTTGTTACGTTTCGATTAGGTAAATATGGTATTAGCTAAAAGGTTACAATGTTTTGAAAAATGGAGTTTTAGGTGTAAAATTATAGTACCATATTTGTTTATATTGATCTCAATAATGCTACCGGCTGAAAAAATTTCAGGAGAACTTACTATATGCAATCTCCAATTAAACCAATTAAACTAAATTCGACAGACTGTTTATATTGATTAATAATTATGTGTCATATATACAATATAATACAATGTAGGTGAAAACAATTATTACAGTGCTATGAGTAGAAGTCTTGTGATTAAACTATATAAACTATATAACAAACTATATAACATCCTTAACTATTGTGTACTGCATGATACCGAAGATACGACATCACGCGTAAGACAGTATTTGATTATCTGCTCCTTTTCATTAGGACTTAAAACAAAGTTTTATGGGAAACAGTAACGACTATAAAGTAGTATTAAGTTTAAGACCAATTAGAATATATTTGATGGAATTAATTATTGCAGATCTGAAATTTGGATATCTTATATTTTGTGTTTAACATGATTTGAAATATATAAATTTCATTGTAAAATAATAATTAATTTATCTAACGCAGAAAGTCAAAAGTTTTTTCACAACATTTAATCTTTTTCACATCATAAACTTTTAAATGCGAGTTAGTTATTTCACAAAGAGAATATCATTACCTGATTTTAACTATTTGAGACTCATTTTTTTGACAAAAGTATGTTTATATTCAATTCTTCCACGGCTCATATCTGAGATATTCACCTTTCCATTAGCATTTATCATCTTTCTAGATTACAAATTAATCAGCCTCCTGTTTTTGTATAGAAATGTATCTCATTTATTAGCTTTTCAAAAAAATGTAACTTGAATTGTTTTTCAAATATCTTTACTGTTATTGCAGTGTATAGTTACAAAACATGCTAAGAGAACTACTAAGAGTAGTTATTCACCAAAATGTGAAAAAGTGATCAAAATCTGTGAAGTCTTATTGAAAAAATGTACGTAAAAGATTTTAACTAGTATCACAAAGATTTTTCATATAAATGGTTTTATGACTCAACAGTGTCGTAAGAAAAGTTCAAGCTATTCTACACAAGACCAACTATCACGAATCAGCCTAATCTGAAAAGATTAGGCCGAAATAAACATAATAATACTTCCGATTTTGTGGTGAAATTAGATACTAACATTTGGTTTGAAATTTATTCAAACTTGAAGGTGAAAGTGATATACCTCATATCTGAAAATTATGTTTCAATCAATAACTACAAATCTGTTAGATACGGTTCGTTTTACAAAAAAGCACAATTTAGTTGGTAAATTGGAATTATTTGCAATAAACCGAAACACGTCTGGGGATTAATAAAGCTATCTTAAATTATTAAACTCATTCAAAATGATTAGATTAAAACCAGCAATTTTAAAATTTACGGAACGCAGATATACCATAAAAGAAATTCTATCTAAATACTGGAGAGTATTCAAACATGAACTTGAAGGTATCTCTATACGAGATTTACCCTTAAACCAAATACACACTGCGGGAGTACTTGGCAATAATCACAACATCGAGCCTTTAACTGGGAAGGTGACTAAAAGATTCGTAGAGAACACAGTCAATTATATATAATCACTATCAAGATTTGGGGCTATAATTCAGAAAGAAAAACAAAACCATTTAATACTTCGCGCTTTAACTACTTATTTACTCACTTTTACTTTCCCTGGACCAATGATGTAATTTACCACCAACATGCAACGTAAACTATCGTCAGGATTAATAACACATAAAATCAAAGCATTGTGCATCTGCAACAATAATTAATAATAAAAAAAACATTTAACATATATACCATATTATTACTTGAGTGTCGTATCTAAACACCACAAAAGCCGGCACGGCACATTCAGCAAATTACACCCATCCTTCAGTTATCTTGAATATTCACATTTTTGATTTCTACAAAACATTTTCTTGTCCTTAAGTTAGTTTGTTTTGAACTATAAAACATTATTAAATTATTTGCCCCAATAATTGCTTAACTATTTCTAATACATCTAATTTCGTATAACTGTTAATACAATATTATCGCCGCATAATTTTTCGATCGTCTTCACATGTTTGCTTTGTCATAATAACAGATGTGAAACTCTTTATCAAAAATTTAACTAATATCATTTATCTTCAGCAGACGAGCGATATCCACAATACGTGTTGTTCCCAACAATACGTTTGTTTTAATTTATTTCAATTCTTACTGCTGTTATTATTATTTCCGTATTAATTCCCATTTAACAGAACCAAGTACAAATTTATAAAAGAGAGCGCAGCGCCCTCTTGTGTGAGATGCGAGATAAATAATAATTTCAAATTTTCTCTAATACTAATACTAATCAGCTGATTTATGTAAACAAATATAAAAAGTCAAAGAATTAAGTAAAATGGAACAACTCTAAAAGGCTTAAGTTCCGACTGTAATTCCGATTATAAGTACAAAAGTGATGAAATGAATATTGCGGAAATGATTATTTTTAGACTAAATTTATTTAAAGTCAAATTAAATGAAGAATTTTTGTTTCTAATTGATTGAATTTTTTTGACCTATCGTGGAGCTGTTTCGAGTATTTTTATTTATAACCTTAGCAAATATATACTGAATTGCAAATACATACACCAAGCTAGAAACTGTTTTGAGAACTATATGGAAAACATTGTGAAGTTTTATTTATCATGTTTTACTGATCATGAGGATTCCAACTTTAGATGTCTTGTTGATCATTTTGACTTATATGACGTTTACACTGGGTGTGAATGACTAATTTGAAATCACTCATTTCAAAGTGTTTACATTCGTTGTTATTCATTTCTTTCTTTCTCAACTGAAAACTTATTTTTAGCTTTGATATACAATTTGTTTTGGAAAGCAGAAGTTCCAAAACGAGATGCATCGTTTTCAAGGAAATGCAACCACCAAATAAGTATTTGTTTACCTTTTTTTTGTAAATATGTCAAAAACAGCTTTCTCAAGCTGTTAAAATGCCACGAAAATCTTTTGTATAGGGTATATTCAACGTATTCATTTGCATTTAAAACTCGTTGGAACTTATTTATACAAAATGAGATCCATTGCGCGAGTGTTGCGCATATGAAGTCTTGTACGCAAAAATCAGTCATTTGCTTCTTATTTGTGATTTTTAACACAAATCAGTCATTTGAGACTAGTGTAAACGCCATATTACTTAAATCCAGCATATCCAAAATAATTGATGAATTTATTAACTTTTCGATTTTTTTAAGTTAAATAGTTATTTAACAATGAAATAAACAAAAAGTTAAACAAATATGACATAGAATCATGAATATTTTTAATTAGATACTGTTTTGTTTTTCATGTTTTTACAAATTTTGTGTACCCAAATACTTGTCGTTAATTGAGAGCAATTAAAGCGTTAACGCATTTTCATATTTTCGCATTTATCTTATATGGTGTACACACTGACCGAAAATGGATCACTTTGAAGGAGCCAACTGAAAGTGTTTACATTCGTTGTATTTCATTTGTTCTCATATCAAACAGCTGATTTTTCAACTTGACTGTTGATTTGATTTTTGGCCTGTGCCAAAAAAATGTTGCATGAAGGTTAAACTGCCTTCAAACCTTACAATATAAACTTAAAAGACATTTTTAACTTTGATTAACTACTTTTTGGGGAGTAGAAGCTGTAAAAAGAGGTGCATCGATTTGAAGAAAATGCAATCACCAATCATTTGTTTACATTTTTCTTGTAAATATGTCAAAAACAGCTGTCAAAATGCCATGAAGAGCTTTTATTTAAGGTATGTTCAATGTACTCTTTTGTATTTGGAAAATATTTGGAATGCATTCGAACGGCGTTGGAACGCATTCATACAGAATGTGTTGAAATGGATCGCATTCGCGCTTGAAATTTTGTATACAGGAATGAGCCATTCGCTGCTCATTTTCGATTTTTGACCAAAATAATCTATTTTCGGCCAGTGTAAATGCCGTTTTAACAAATGTGTAACAATTTGTCATACATAAAGTATACATAGTAG